CAAACTATCAGAAAGAGAAATTAAGAAAGCAATCCCATTTACAACTGCATCAAAAAGAATAAAATACCTAGGAATAAAATTTAACCAAGGAGGTTAAAGACTTGTACTCTGAAAACTATAAGACATTGATGAAAGAAACTGAAGATGACACAAATAAATGGAAAGATACACTGTGCTCAAGGGTTGGAAGAATTAGTATTGTTAAAATGTCCATACTGCCCAGAGCAATATACAGATTCAATGCAATCCCTACCAAGTAGCAATGGCATTTTTTACAGAACTAGAACAAAGAATCCTAAAACTTTTATGGAACCACAAAAGACCCCAAATAGCCAAAATAATCTTGAGAAAGAACAAAGCCAGAGGTATCATGCTCCCTGATTTCAAACTATATTATAAAGCTAGAGAAATCAAAACAGTATGGTACTGGCACAAAAACATACACATAGATCAATGGAACACAATAGAGAGCCCAGAAACAAACCCACCCATTTATGGTCAATTAATCTATGACAAGGGAGGCAAGAATATACAATGGAGAAAAGACAGTCCCTTCAATAAGTGGTATTGAGAAAACTGGACAGTTACATGCAAAAGAATGAAACTACTCTCACACAATATGTAAAAAATAAATTCAAAATGAGTTAAAGTCTCATCCCACCCTATACTTGGCACAGTGCTCCAAGCAGAGATCAGGCTCCGGAAAAAAGTTCTGATTGGAGTTAGGAACAGACAGATGGATGGGAGGATGGGAAAGGAAAGTGGTGGGTTCCAGGGTAGGTACAGCACTGCTCAACCTTTTGACATTTTAATAATAAAGACATGCATTTTCTTTGCATCTTAGTTCATCACAAGTAATTATTTGGGTCCTGAAACTTTCAGGACACTTTTAGGCAACAGGAAGGGTCTGTGCACCCTTAGAACTGTGGCTTTTGTCATCACTCCCTGAATTCTTCATTTCTACAGGGAGCACAGCAGTCAGAAGAGCTAAATTTAGCTAGTTCTCATAAAAGAAAACGGGTGGTTCAGGGTCAGTAATAATCTCTGTAACCAAAGACAAACAGAGACGGATGACCGTGTCTTTGTGCTTGAAAGCCAGGATCTAGAAAACGTAAAGCAGGTGACTCTGGACTAGATCTCAGGTGGGAACTGAGCAGATGCCTAATTAAAAGGTGACAATAAAGAGACTGATTTCTTCCATTCTTTGTTTCTTGCTCTTAAAAAAAGAGTAACTTGAGCTTCAAAGTTGAAGCTTGACGTGCAGCCCAGCTGGTCATCTTCTGGGCCAGATGTTACAGTAGACTAATGAACGTTAGGTATTAGAAAGGAGGGTGCAGATTTGAGGTTCCAAAGGAATTTCCAAATAACATTATCAGGACCTAAATGTTACATCACTGAATTTTTAATGGATGGGCAATGATTTATACTGGAATATTCTTGATAGCCTTCATGTTTGATTTGTCAGACTATTTAGAAGATGCCTCTTGAAGCAGACTAAGTTGAGACTAAAATTCCTACTTGAATAAAGATTTAATTTATCATAAATTTAGTTCAATAGTATATTAAACTATTATCTGTTTCAAAAAAAATAAGGCCTGAAATCTCGTTAAATAGCTAGAAAGACCTAGAAGTATATAAACACACAGATGCTATCAGCTTGGTAAAATTACTGATGTAATTGGTGTTTTATTGCACAGATAACCTTTCCACACAATTTAATTTTCATAACACAATTCATTTTTTTAAAGGCTTAAGAACAAAATCTTTTTCCCAGTTATGATTTGTCGATCTGCTTCCAAATTAAAATGAATGAATAAACAAGACCACAGATTCGTCAGCTGGAAAAGAACGTTTTATGGCACTTGGGGAGTTGGTTCTTGACTGAGGTCTGCTCTCTGTAAAATTCAAGAACAGGGGCAAAGCCTCCCACCCATGCCCCCTGGGGATTTTTAGGGGGAATTCTTGGGTTTGTGATGCCCTTTAAAACAGCAAACTTGAGCCTCATTAACAAGTCCATGAAGATCAGGGAAGACTCCTGAGCCTTCTCCAGGGATTAGTTGCTACTTTGAAACCATGCTAGATTTGAAAAGGAATTCTCCCAGGCACCAGAGGATTGATTAATCTGCCATTTCTCCACTGAGATAAATGAAGGAAGAAGGAACGCCAGCAAACACTATCCTTTCAAAGGATCCTTGGGACCTCCCTGGTGGCGCAGTGAAGAATCCGCCTGCTAATGCAGGGGACACGGGTTTGATCCCTGGTCTGGGAAGATCCCACATGCCGCAGAGCAACTAAGCCCATGTGCCGCAACTACTGAGCCTGCACTCTAGAGCCCACAAGCCACAACTACTGAGCCCATGTGCCACAACTACTGAAACCCACGTGCCCTAGAGCCCTTGCTCTACAACAAGAAGCCAATGCAATGAGAAGCCGGCGCACCACAACAAAGAGTAGTCCCCATTGGCCGCAACTAGAGAAAGCCCGTGCACAGCAACAAAGACCCAACGCAGCCAAAAAAAAAAAAAAAAAAAAAGAGGCCAGGAATTAAAAAAAAAGAAATTCAAAGGATCCTCAAATACCAAGCAATCTAGAACACAAACGCCAAGATTTACAAGTAGCAGGAAGTATGCTAGGGACTTCAAAATAAAACAACTTGTCTTGCTTATTTCTCCTGGCCACGTATTTCTATTCTTTTCAGACTCTAGCTAGATGGTTCCCCAGTAAGATTTCCTCCTGGATTCATCTCAGAAGATTGACTCTAGCCTGCTCCCCTGGGCCATCTGGGGGCTGGAATGTACTAAGACAATGGAACTTAATATCTAAATTAGACCCAAACAAATTTAACCGAGAGGGAAATCAACCTCATAATAATGGTATTTAGTATTTTCAAAGCCCCAATAAATAATGTTTAGAGTAGCTACCCCTCTTTTCCTTATTGTTAAATAATGTCATCAATAATATATAGGGCACAGATATTTAAACAACTTTCAAATGGGAGAGAGGTACCATAAGCCTGTCTTGGAGAACCGAGGGGAATCAGGAAGGAAACATGATTTTAGAATTAGTCAATGATATCGTGTCTCTTCTTCACCAGATGTGTGATCTTCACCTTAACCTAACATCCCTTATCTTCCATAGGTCAGTGTAGGTTTTCCTAGTTTTATGGCAAAAGAGAGTTTGAATTTGGAGACAGAAGTCCTTTTTATAGGAAGCTTTATAATTCAGTCATGGTTGTCTGTTACTAAAGGCACAGAGGGGATTCTTTTACCAAGTGGGATGGCCTCAAACACACCCTCCAACTTAGCTTTCTTTCATTCTACAAGACTCTGAATTTGAAATTTTTGAGATTGTTCTACTGCCTCTCAAACTGGAGAGAGCAGGGAGAGCGGGTGCCCTTTATTATTAAGTCCTCACAACAATCTCTGCTTTGCAGAAAAAGAGAATAAACAATTTTCCCAACATCACACAGCCACCTTAGGTGGCTTCCAAGTCCGACTTTACAGTCCACTCAATTCCCAGTAAATATCCTTTACACGCCATCTATAATATGAGGATAACTGAAAATCAACCTCACTTTATAAATAAGAATAATGAAAAACCCTAAGTCTGGAGAGCTTGAGTTAATGGATTTATTTTCACTGAACCTGGAAAATTTGGGGTAATTATTTAAGCCAGCTGATTTTCAAAACTGTAAATATTATAAAATAAATTTCAAATGTAAAAATGGATCTTAAAAATTTAAATTGTCATATAATTATAAAGCCAACCAGAAGAAAAAGCACCTTCATAGTTTTATCTATTTTCAGGACACCAAAAAGTGTTGTGTAGTTTGCAAACTTGAATACAAGAGATGGGTAGTTATTACCTTGCTATAATTAATTTTTACACCATGTACCTTTTTGAACATTTGTCTTAAAAACAGTAGAATGTGGATATGCAATGTGATTGTATATCTTTTACCCATAAGGATTTTAGGCGATAACATCATTTCTAGTCTGCAGAGGTTAACTGAATCATATTCACTCTTTCTTCATTGTTGTATTTCTGATAAGTATACAAGGTAAATTGCTGCTTATTTGTGAAGCATGTACATCATCTGCTGTAATTGAGAATTTTCTTCCTTTGATGGCTTCATGGTTATCATTCTCAATACAAGTAATTTCAGGTAACTTCAGTTTTATAGGTTTAATTTCTTGCCAAAGCTTATGAATGAAACATTTGGTACTTGTGTCTTATGTCAAATGTCCCAATGTACTCTTTTAAGGAAATTTTTTCACTGTAAATTTCATCTTTCAATTACCAGATCAATTACTTTTTAAGTCAATGTCACCTAGACTCACATAACAAAGTGCAGTTATTAGAACAAACAGGTCAGGGACAGAGTGACAGCTGTCTCACGCCAGAATGCTCCCATTCACCACGGAGTGAAATCTGACGTGTCCCCTGGTCCAGCTAAAAACTTGGCTAAAAATGCACGTACATTTTACTCATTCTTACACTCTTCCAAATGCATATACTTTTTCTCTGGAGGGCTTTAAAAATACCTCGATGGAAGCATGTGGAGTTAACACACTGACTCGGGACAGCAAGGTGCACAGACTGGAAGCCTCCTTCAAGGTAGAATTAATTTTTTTCTCTTACAACTACCAGGAGTTACTTTTCTAAGAGCATTGCAGTAATGAAGGTATCTAGACCATAGGCTATGATACAAATTTGAAAGGTTCCCCATCTGAATTAAGGGCAGATGACAGTGAAGAGACACAGGGTCAAGCCCAGACCCTTAGGGGATGATGCCTCTCGCAGGGCAGCCCTCATGGTCTCCGAACTTGTCTCCTCGTGGCCCAGGCATGGGTGAGAATGCCCACACGAGGGTGTGCCAAGTAACCGCCCAGCACGGGAGGGCATGAAGCACTGTGCATATCTCACTATTACACTGTCACAACCTACCAAGGTCAAGGCCCCAGAAATCAAAGAAGGAAGAGGCACAAAGTCACATTTACCGATTCTTCATTCTCAAACTCCAGGTTATACTGCGCTGCTTCTTCAGTCACTGGTTTCTGAACGATGTTCCTACAGACCAGCCAGATGGTCAGACTGGCTATGAACATGCCGACGTCAGGCACAAACACTCGGATCCCGTTGCCAGCATCAGCTCCCTTTAAGCTATGGAGGGGAAAAAAGCAGGGGGCGGGGGGTGGAGAGGAAATTTAGTTGTTTTTATGTTGCTATGGTTAAACCATCATAAAGTATGCTTAAATCTTCTTAATGATTTAAAATAAAGAATGCTCAGTTTCTGCCCAGAAGGTACCAGAAAGCTTTTCACCAACCCCAGTCTTATGTAATCTACTAAGATTCAGGAAACTTCCAGGGAGCTTTAGAAATAGTATAAAGAACCCTAAACCAATTCTCACTCCTAAAACGTGCTAATGAACTAACTTGTTATTAAATAAACCACGTGTCCAGTACAGAGACAGGTGTTTGCAATCTAGCTGGAGCAGTTAAATACTAGATGTACACAAGCAGCTACGAGATATTGGGCCTTGGAAGTAAATCAAAGTTAGAAGGAAAAACGGAGAAGATGTTAAAGCAATCCTTGAATAGGAGCTCTTCATGATTTTCAATACTGATTTGATTTTGTTTTCCATCCTGTTCCAAGAAAGATCGTTAACAGAGAAGTCAGAAGATTCGGTTCCAGTGTCAGTAGGACCTGACAGCTGCCTTTCACTGGAGGCCTTCCCCACATCCTGCGTCCTTCCTCTGCCCCAAAGAGATAACACTGTTTGTCTTCTTTATCTCACTGGACTCAGATGAAAGTGACCCAATGTGTATCAGAGATAAAACTTGTTTAGGGACAGGAAGCAGAAGATAGGAAATTATGCATGTAAAGATACATAGTTTTCCATATACACTTCATGTGATGAAATACATACTGTAGTCATTTACATTGGATATGTGATGTATTGGTAAAAACATAATAATAGCAAGACTCCATCACCTAGAAATAACCATGTTAACATTTTAGTAAACTAAAACATCATATGATATCGCTTATATGTGGACTCTAAAAACATGATACAAATAAACTTATTTACAAACCAGAAATAGACTCACAGACATTGAAAACAAACTTGTGGTTACCAAAGGGGAAAGACGGGGAAGGGATAGATTAGGAATTTGGGATTAACATACACACACTACGGTACATAAAATAGATAAGCAACAAGGACCTACTGTTTAGCACAGGGAACTGTACTCAATATTTTGTAATAACCTATAATGGAAAAGAATCTAAAAAAGAATATATATGTATACATATATATATGTATATATAACTGAATCACTTTGCTGTATACCTGAAACTAACACAACATTGTAAATCGACTATATTTCAATAAAATTTTTAAAAATTAGTAATAATATCTACCACTTACTGAGCAATTGCTTTGTGCTCAGAGCTTCGTACATATTATTTAGTCCAACCAATCACCTTAAGGAGTTAGGCATTATTACTTATCCTCCTTTTACATATGAAAAAAGTAAGGCTCCAAAAGGTAAACTTACTTCCCTAAAGTCACACAGAGAGTCAGAGAGAGAACAGAATTATCCTCGAGCTCCCTATAAGTGCAAAGTTTATGCTGTCAACCACTGCATCCTCCGTACGTATCCCCACGGCCTTCCCTTCCAGTCTTCCTTCTGTGCATGGACATGCGTTCTTAGAGTTAACAAGACTAGGCTCATACTTTACCTACGGATTTCGACAATTTGTTCATTTAATACATCACTCACATTTTCACAACTCACTGAAGAGTTTTAAGCCTCACCACACTCACAGTCAGACAGGATTTACTTAACTAGTCCACTACTGTTGTACATTTAGAATATTTCCATCCATTTGTTACTATAATATAAATAAAAGTTAAATCTTCATTAAGTAAAGAGTCTTCTAATCCAAGATCTTCTAGGAAGAATTCCTTAGACCAGTCTAACTGGCTTTTTATAAAAATGGACTGGAAGAGGGCATCCCCTGTAGAAGCTTCGATTTTCCACATGACTTTAAACTCTTCTGAATAGAGAAACATGAAAGTGATGAGACATCCCTTTACTTCCATAAATAAAACACACGTGGTTGTGTGAAAGGTTTCTAAAGATGGCAAGTTCCTTTCATATGGGTTAAGAGTAAGTCAATTATGAAAACTTCATCAAACTTTATAATTACTTATGAAACTTATAATCCAGAATCGTAACGGTGAAACCTGATGATTGATTTCATCATAATAAAAATGTAGAGGTTTGCTGCCTACTTTTAAAGTACATCTAACATGATCAGACAGAGCAAAGGAGAATTAATATCACCAGAATGAGAACTCGGAGAGAGGCCAGAAAACGAAGGCCAGGCTGGGGCGGGGTAGGGGTGTTTCCTGTGTGGGGCTGCCAGGGGAGCTGGTGGGTCCTTCCCGGGTGGATTTGGGGGGATAAATTATTGTGGCTCCTTTGTGGAAAATGACTTGACCATGGCATTTTATGAAAAGCACCAACCAAGCAGACTGGAGGAGAAAGAGTTCTTACAGAAAGCCAGCAGCACCGGGCTCCTCCCACCTGTTCTCTGCAGGCGCATCCCCATTTGCAAACAGTGGCTTTGAGGCTACAGCCCCAGCTTTGTGCTTCCTGGTCCCCAAACAGACACTCGATAGCCCACATACACTAAGGGAGTAAATGAACGCAGCTTGCAAAAGCAATCCTCCACCTGCTGTGACAGAATGTAGCTCCTGGATCCAGGACTGGGCTGCAATCCGACTCAGAATGGAATCCTTCAGCCACAGAGGTGCCAACCTATCCACTGCGGCTCTCGGGTCCCGAGCTAACACAGCAGCACATTCACGGCACTGCCTAGCAGACACAACGAGCCTTCAGAAGACGATAACACGGGCCGTGGACAATAGACAAAGTCCAACCGATATGTCCCGTGGGGACCATCTTATCACTAAAGTCTCCTTCTTCACTGTCTAGACCAGTGTGGGCTGAGTTACATTAATCAGAGCGCTAGTCCTCAGAAGCGCTGCAAATTAAAGCAGAACAAGACGAGACGAAAGGAGAAAACAACAGTTGCTGGTCAAATAAGTGTTAGAAAATCACACGAATATCATTATAGTAAAGAACTTGAGAAGTTCTGTCGTAAAACAGTAACTCTGAGCTTACTTAAGCCTCCATCTCCCAAATTTATTTGACCACAAACCATTTCTTAGTTTTATCTAACACCTATTACATTCTGCCGAGCTAGTGCTCACGGCGCAAGCTTTAGAAAATGCTGACTCAGTGTCTCCTCACTGGTCTATAGGTTTGATCACAGTGAATGGACAATTTGGAAACTATACTAACGTGTAGCTAATCTTTATACATTTGGTTTTGAATAAGCCCCTAATAATTGCAGTCAGTGATACCTCATTCCTCTCCCTCAGCCCTCCTCCCGTCTATCCACCCACTCACTCAGGAAGTCACTGCAGCCATGGAGCTGGAAGAAACCAGAAAAGATCTAGTCCATTTCCTCATCTTGCAAAGAAGAAACCAACGCAGGGTAGGCTGAAGCCTGGACCAAATGCACAGCTGGCAGCAGAGCCCTTGTTGGGAGCTGCCACTCACTGCACTTGCCCCCGCTTTTACCTGGTGCCTCAGCTTCCCCCCAATCACTGCTCCCACCGCAAGGCCCGATGGCCCATTCCAACCCCATCCCATGCTGCCTCTGTGCTGCGCTGGACAAATCTGCTCCCACATCCACTCTCCCTGCTTTCCTTCCCTCTCCTGTCTACTTCTCCACCTCCCTCTGGACACCCCCAAAGGCTCACCTTGCTGGGAGATCCCCCAAGGGAGTGCGGGGCTGGGCTGTGCCCACCAGGCTCCTCTTCTCTGCCTCCCGCGTAAATGTTGATGAGTTGGCAAGGTCTAGTCCTCACTTATTTTTTCTAACTCCACATGGCAGATCTGAATGACACACTCACCACCGAGGCTCCACTCAGCATCTGCACGACGACTTACAAACCTGCACACCCAGTCCAAGCATGTCCCCAAGACCCATTTTCCTACTAGACATCTCCACTCAGTATTCGACAGCTTCTTACAACTAAATGCTATCTCTATCCCAAAATCTGCTCTTCCTCCCTTATTCCTCACCTTGAAAGATGGCGCTGTCACCAGTGTAGCAACCAGGACAGAACCTGGGCCCTGCCATCGGTCACAGGAAACTGGAGATTCTGTCTCCATGCCTGTGTTTCTCTTCCCCACCCTCCTCTATTTTGGCTTCTGGATTATTGAACGGCATCCTTGTCACTTTGCCTCAGGGTGTCCCCTCTGCTAAGCAGGCCTCCTCCGCATTAGCACCCAAGCTTAACTTTTAGAAGCACAGGTTGGGCACACCCACCGCCCTGCTGACGAGAAAGGTCCATAGTCCCAAGCACACCCGCGAGGCCCTCGGTGTTGCAGGCCCGTCTGCCTTGTCTCTTGCTATGACTTCCTGGGACCTCAAATTCCACCCACGCTGACCGCATACACCAGGACAGGCAGGTGTTTGTCCCTCCGAGTCAGTGTGCGATCTTCCCCCTTGGACCACGACGCCCTTCTCACACACGCTTCCAGGGTGCCCTCATCAGTCAAGACTCACCTCCCACACCTCCACCTTGAAGCCTGTCCACCACCTGCCACCTTTAGATGCCTAACTGCCTATGTACACTTAATACTTTATGTCGCTAACTTGTTTGTGAACCTCTGTATCCAGGAGGACTATATATATATATGTTTACATATTACGTGTGTGTGTGTGTGTGTGTGTGTGTGTGTGTGTGTGTGTGTGTGTGGTACAGTGTGTGCTCTGAGTACAGGCTGGCAGAATTAATGTTATCTCCAAATATTTACTCTTTCCTTCCTATGACAATAGTTTGTGCAAAGTACTGTTGAAGAATTAGATCTGCTGTCTGCCACAAAGAGCCCCGTACTTTAGCTCGGGGAAGGTAAAGTACAAAGGGCAGGACACGTCACTGTGGTCTGGGGAACAGCTGAAGATCGAGGGGTTGATGAGTAACATCTTAATTATTTGGACACAATTTAATTTTCAAAACTGGAAATTATAAGCCATTCAGAATACATATG